AGTTATGTGAGTGTAATTTAATGCAACCAGTAAAAAAATGACACACTCAAAAATACTACAGATAAATCAAAACGTAATTCTAAATTTTTAAAGAAACTCACAGGAAAAGAGCAATAAAATGAAAACCAGAAAATTTTTAAAAATTAAATGGCAGATCTAATTTATTGGTGGTTACATTAAATATAAATGGTTTGAATAAAACCAATCAAAAGACAGATAAGAGGTAAAGTAAGAGGATTGCAAGTTTGAAGTCACCTTGAGAAACTTAGCACCATCCCATGCATTGTCCTTAATGGAAAGGAGGACAGCAAAACACCCTGCTCCCGAATGTCCCTTTCTGTTCCCCAAAACCTTGCCAAGTTAAGGGAATGCTGAGAGCAAGCATGGGCTGGAAAGTCCAGATACATATTACCCTGAAGGACACGGCTTTCTCTCATGCACACTGGGACCTAGGGCAAGTTAGTATTATCTGTAGAGAGCTACTTTCTTGCATGTACATGGGAACAGTTTCTCCTTGGGGTGCTAGTCACACAAGCAAGGTAACACTTCTGCATCCTAATATGCAAAATTCTTCTGAGCGGGGATGGGTGCAGAAGTGAGGGCCCTGTGGAAAGATTACATGTCACTTGTCCAGTCAGTCACCACTGGACACAACACCGTAAGGGAGAGGAAGCACTGCTTGGCAGAGCATCTTGAGGAATGGAGGTGCCATCTGTCAGACTGTCACTATTGAACTCTTCTTGGAGTTGTATTGATGTCTTTCTTGTAAGCTTTCCCCAATAATCCATATCTCACATTCTGTCTCTGGGCACTTTCTTTGGCCTTTCTATGACCAACCATGCTGCCCTGGCACAACTGGGCTGTAGACATGACACTCTGTCTCAAAAATAAAAAAGGGCTGGGGACATCGCTCAGTGGTGAAGCACCCCTAGATTTAATCATCAGTACCAAAAAAAAAAAAAAGAAGAAGAAGATTCAATGTATCAAACAGCACTGATGAAAAAAAAAATCTCAAAAGATCACATGGCACATGAATCCATTTATAGAACATTCAATGAATGACAAAATTATAGACATGAAGAACAGATTAATGCTTTCCGAAGTTGGAGATGTAAGAGGAGGGACTGGAGTATGGACATAAGGAGATCTTTGTGGTAATGGATTAATAGCTCTGTGTCTTGCTTGTAGTTTTGGCTAGACAAATCCATACATGTAATAAAATAGCAAACATACAAAACTACATTTAGAAAGAGAACTGTACAACAACTTGTATCAATGCCAATAACCTGATTTGGATATTAGAGCATGATTACATTAAGATGTACATGGGACCCCTGTGCATTGCCTTTGCAATTTCCTGTGAATCTAAAAAATTTTTAACTGCAAATGCTCCTTCAGAAACCAGATATTTTGCATATGGCTTATTTTGAAAGAATTTGAAGCTGGTAGGTACATAATTTAAAATCAAAGTATAGTATATGTATATGGACTGTATTTAGAAAAAAATTTTAAATTTTAATTTTCTGTTATAATTTCTTTATTTGTATTTATTAAATAATGTGTTGTTTTACTATGTGATACATTAAGGAAATTTTTAAATGAACTACTAATAAAATAGATAGATTGCAAAGACATTATGCTGAATTAATAAATCCATATACAGAAAATTTATGATGTATGATTCCCATTTGTTTATAACCCTAGAAAATAAAAATCTAATATATAGTGACAGAAAGTAGATCAGTGGTTGCCTGAAGCCAGGAAGGGTTATTGGTATAGACTACAAAAGAATATTTGGGATAATAAAAATATTCCATATTTTTATGAGTTGATGGGTATGTAGGTGCATAAACTCATCAAAACTTGGGAATATCCATTTAAGATTAATGTGTTTTTTAATGTACATGAATTATACTTCAATAAAATTGATGTAAAATTCCTTCACAAGCTGGGCGCCTTGGCGCTCTTGTGTGATCGTAGCAGCTGGGGAGGCTGAGGCAGGAGGAACGAAAGTTCAAAGCCAGCCTCAGCAAAAGCAAGGTGCTGAGCAACTCAGTGAGACCCTGTCTCTAAATAAAATACAAAATAGGGCTGGGGATGTGGCTCAGTGATCAAGTGCCCCTGAGATCAATCCCTGGTACCAAGAAAAATCCTTCATAAAATCTTATAAATAAAATGAAAATATTTTAAGATATGAAATATTTGAAAGTATTATAAAGTAATGGCATACTTGACCATTTGAGTATAAGATGACAGAAAGTCAAATCCAATTGTAAGACTTGCATAAAACCTTACTGATATTGACACTTCATATATACACTCTAAAGTAATAGCCCTAAATTGTGTATCCTCATATTAGCATCAAACCTTAGAGGCTTACTTGCACTGATCAATCACTCCACTGACTGTGCAGAAGTATATCCCTCCAGAAACCCAAAAGCAACCTCAGTCACACAGGTATAATGAGGAGAAAATGATTCTTCAATGTAAGGGTTTCTTGATACAATCCATTCGGATTATGAAAGAAACTGTTGGTGACAAATTCTCTGTCACAATTTTCCTGAAAATCTAAAACTATTCTAAAATTAAAAGATAGCCTCCCAAGTTGCTGAGATTACTGGCATGTAAACACAGCACTCTACTTAAACCACTGGTTTAAAACAAAATAGTTTGTGACACTGTAGCTTGAGGAGAAGGTGTAACATTTCTGGAAATCTTAATAATGTCATCAACATGGGGCTGGAGATGTGGCTCAAGCAGTAGCGCACTCTCCTGGCATGCGTGTGGCCCAGGTTCGATCCTCAGCACCACATACAAACAAAGATGTTGTGTCCGCTGGAAACTAAAAAATAATAATAATAATAATAATGTCATCAACACAACATGCCATTTTTTGATGTTAGGTGGAAACCATGACTGCTTCCAGACTAATTATTTACAGTGGATTTATAGAAGGTTTAGAAAACTCTACCAAAAATACACCCCTAAAAAAAACATTTGTTTACTATTGCTGCTGCCCACAAAAACATTACAAATATTATGAACTACAGAAGAGATAACAAATATTACTCTAAGGTAACACCAACTAGCTGGCCGGTGGAATGGTGCCCTGTAATGGTGCCCTGTAATGGACAGGAAGATGAAATATTACCTGTGAACAACACAAACAGGATAGAAAACACTAAATCAAGGTGACCTACTTTAAAGTACCTCCCATAGAAAAACCAGTGGACTGAATTGTCATGCCACCCCTCCTACGCTTCGTGGGCAGATACTGGAACAAAACTCAACCAAATAATAATAAATTCTTCAGGGTGGGGAAGGGAAACCAGATAATTGCTACTTCCAATTACATTAGGAATAAAAAAGGAAATATTAAATAGTGTGTGAAAGTAAAACTATCATGGAAACTGGGAAAATACCCAAATGTAGTACCCTTTAAACTGGTTGGCTCACCCAAAGAAACTCTAAAAATTTGAAAGAAAAAAAAAATCTAGGAGATGTCAAGTTCCCACATCTGAGAGAAGGACCCAGCACTTCAGAAGAACTTGTCACCTGGAAAAAGATCCAGGTATGAAGACAGCAAGAAATTCACTCCACATCCAAATTCACTTGTACAGATCCTGGATTGCCTGGCGGGGGTTGGGGGGGGTGTCCATGCCCACTATTTTAAACCACTATTTCTTAGACCCAGTCCACAGGTGCCCTGGTGCCTCAGCCTAGAGACTGTATACCTCTGCCTTACCCTTTATTATTTAGGATCCTTGTTCACATGTAACAGTCAACTCAAAGTGGCTTTTTAAGAAGAAAAGTCACAATGGTTCCTATAACTTATTCAAACAATATTATCAGGACTCAAGCTCACTCTCTGTCTCTAGCCTTCCATGAAGCTAGCTTTGTTTTCCTCTGTGTTGGCTTATCTGTCAGGCTTTCTTCAAAGAGGCTTCTGGAGTCAATAGGCCCATAGTATACAGGTTAGCAGGCACCATAGGAACACAGAGACTTCATTCTATTTCCATCAGACTTCCAGAAAAGGCCTCTTTGACTCTGATTAGCCCATCCCAGACCATGTGTCTACCTCGGAGCCAAACACTCTCCAAGAGCACACTGTCATTACTAGTATTTAATGAGGGCTAGGGATATAGCTCAGTTAGTAAAGTGCTTGCCTTGCATGCATAAGGCCATGAGTTCAATCCCTAGCACCATCAAAAAAAAAAAAAATCACTAGTATTTAATGAATTGCTTAGCAGTAGGGAAGGAACAAAATCATCAGGCAGCCTGAGGCTCACCAGCAATATCTGATGCAAGTAAAAGCAATAACAGTAAAAAAGAATAGGAATCTCTACTTGACTGAGCAGGTTTTCAGATTTCATTCTTCCTAAGATAATATTAAGTACTATTAAGTACTAACCCATTATACTTCATAAGCTTCTATGAGAAATCTGGAATTGCTAGGAGTTAATATACATTAAAAAAAACACTTAGAATAATGTCTGACTCAAAATAAGTACAAGAAAATTTTTAATTAGCACTACATAAAAAGAATCCTAGAGAAAGAAAAAAAGGCATATCCTAATAGAGCGGAGGCAAAGAACTACTCTAGAAGTAGTGTAACCTAATTTTGTAACAAACTGGTGAAGCAGGATATATTGGTTAAACTACTTTTTTATGTCTTTGATTCATAGCTTGAGATGAACAAGACTGTTTTAAAATATCTTTTCTATGCAAACATAAAAGTATTTGATACAGAATACATATCCAATGTTGGTTACAAGATGGTAGTATAATAGATACTGGAGTCTACCCTTCTATACCAAATTCTTACAATAGAAACTGCTGAAGGTATACTGTAAATAAATGAATAACTATGCTCTAAAACTAAAAATTCTTGTTGGAATAGAGAGTGAAAACTTGCTAAAAGACAAAAATCTCATACTAGAGCAAATTTAAATAGGAAATTATAACCTAGGACCTCAATAGAAATATATAAAAGACTTCCTTCTCAGGAGGAATCAAGACTATGCCATGGGAGATATCCACAGAGACTATGGAGCAATTGCACCCTGCACACAAACTTCCCATGTACCTCACTAGCAGCACAACCCATTCACTTAAAATTTTCAGTTAAAACACATATGGTAAGCAATCCTGACAGTGACAACAGCCCCTCCAACCAACTGGGCTGTGAAAGCCAGAGATGTCAGACATTCTAGTAAATAGCATCAATCATGAAGAAGAGTGCACACACACACAAAAAAAAAAAAAGAATCACCAAATGGTTGAGAAGTTTGTAACACCATAAGAGAGACATCAGCTCAAAAAATTAAAGGAATGTAAACTCAATGAAATAGAACTGAAAAGTGTCAGACAGGACTTTAAAATAAGTATAATTAATATTTTCAAAAAGATAAGGATGGGTAGTATCATCATGAACTAGGAACAGGAAGTTAATAACTGAAGCAGAGACCGTGGAAGTAGAAAAATGATAACTGTTGAAATTAAATTATTGGCAGGATGGACAAACTTGAAGAGTCAACTTGCAGGTTGGAAGATTTGACCAAGAAATTCTCTGAAAATGCAACATCAGAAATAAATCTTTGAAACTTGAGGAAGAAAGCACTGAGAAATGCAGAGGGTAGCTTCAAAAGTTCAAAAATCTATCTAAAAGTCCAAAAAGGAGAGACTAAGGGGGAAAAAATGGAAAACAGGAACTAGTTAAGAAAATAATGCCCTTGTAGTTAATTCTGAAAGCTCAAATCTCTGCCTCCTTTTTTTCTCTCCTCCTCCCCCATTAAAATGCCAATTGGTGGATTAACTAGTAAAAAGAAAATTGGAGATGACATAAGAGTAGATAAGAAACAACATCTGCATTTTGGAAGTTAAAAACAGATGGACACATGGTAATTAATTTAACAAGCCAGAAAATGTTAAAAAAAATCATATGCTTACAATGTATGGGTGGGCCAATAAGCACAGATACTCAGTAAGATTCAGGAATTGAAGTACCAATAACCTATGAAGGTAGGAATACAAGTTGAGGCTGGACACAGTAGAATTGATTGAAAATCTGTCTGAAAAGCAAATGGCTCCCATATTCCTTCATCATCTCAGTTCGTCAATTGTCCCTCCTTATTCACAACAGAAGTCTTGGAGTTTATTCTGTGATGAAGCGGAAAGATCTGGAATTGGGACAGCAAGTGGATGTGTCTTATTGAAAACAGTCTAGTGGAAGCCAACACATTAAATATTGAGTCCTCAGTCATCTTTCAAATACTAATGGTCAGGCTTTACCCACCAAATAGGAAATTAGATGATTGGTCTCTGGAGAAACCAAGCATCCTAATAAAAAAGACCTATAGGTACTGGCCAGGGAAGGTCCCATGCCAAATAACCAGGTCTTTGCCCATATTCTGAAAACCCCCACCAATGATCACAATTACCTTTTTTGTTGCCTCACTCTTAAATATGAAGAAAAAGCCAAGGATCATCAGACATTTAAAAAAGGAAGGGCCTCAGAAGAAGGTGGGACAGTGCAGGAATAAGATTTTATTAAGCTATAATTACTGTTTGGAGATATTGGAGAAGATTTAACATCCTTGAAATAAGAACAGGATGTTTTCTGAAAGTAATGAAAAACATGATAGAGATGATTCCATATCAGAAAAAAAAATGAATTCAACAGTAAAGAGACTTCTCCAAGAAAGTAATGGAGAAGACCAGGAGATAGAGATTAGAAGACACAATGACGATATAGGAACTACTAATCAGACGTTTAAGTTGCTGTATTTTGAGGTTTCTTTGTTAAAGAGCTTTGCCTTTATTTTCACTTACAAAAATACCCCCAAAATTCTAAGGTAAGTTTATTTCTCCATCTACAGTTCTATTCCTAGGCAAATTACCAATCAAGTGTGAGTTGAATAAAAACATGTTCAAATATGCAAGACCTCAAAAAATAGAACTTTTAAGCACCCCTTCTCAAAAGACTACTAGAACAAGAACTTATGCCAAGCTCCAGGTGTAATGGGCATTGAATAAGCAATGTAAGTACTACCTCACTATCCATTATTCTATATATTCACTGCTAAATCATCATACTTCATATGGGCCCATGAAATTATTGTGTTTTTAAACAAATAATTTACACTGATAGGGGCCTGCCAAAAACATTTGCCTGAGACTCCACATATCCTCAGGACAGTCCTAGTTAAAGTGGTAAATCTTTTACAACAACCAGTGGATTTAAGAATGAAGAGACCATAAGTAAGCTTCGGGAGTGGATTCATTATAGTGATGAAGGCAGAAAACAACACTGAAGAGTCAAAGAAAGATTGGACAATGAGCTGGGCATAGTGGTGCAGGCCTATAATCCCAGCTACTCAGGAAGCTGAGGCAGGAGGATCACAAATTTGAGGCTGGCCTTCCAATTGAGGAGATCCTGTGTCAAAATAAAAAACAAAAAGGGCTGGGAAGGCACTAGGTTCAATCCCTAGTCACACACACACACACACACAAAAAAAAAAAATATGAATAATAAGATAGTCAACCTCCGCCTTTGGTTTATAGACTCGGGTGGAAAAGATAGTGATGCCTGAGAATTTGGTTTTGAAAAATCAATTATTTACATTGCTAAAGTAGGAAGTAGGTAGCCCATTATTTACAAAATATCTTAAAGAGCCATTTTGGTTTTGGAAAGCCAGGAGGCAAAGCAGAGTTTGGAAAGGAGATGAGACAATGACTGATAAGTTTTACATAATAAAATTTTTAAAATACTACAATTGGGGATTGGCTCAGTGGTACAGCATGTGCTTGGCATGCATGGTGTCCTAGTTTGAGTCCCAGCACCATAAAAAAGTAAAAAAGAAGAAGACTGACTTTCCTATATTATGCCATTGCTGGGGGGAAGGCCTGGAAATAAAGAGAACAAAGATAAAAGGGCTGGAGTTGTAGCTTAGTGGTATAGTACCGGCCTAGCATGCACAAGGCCCTGGGTTCAATCTCAAGTACCACAAAATTAAAAATTAAAAAAGGTAAAACATTTCCGCAATAAGACACCTGGAAATGCAGATGATGTAGGTCTAGTCAGTCAGAGGTATCTTAATAATATAAATGGCTAACATCAAGTTTTATATTAAATCCTGTCCTTACTTAAAATTTTAAGTTTGTCCATCATAAGTATTTGCCTTAATTTTGACTTTTAAAATGATGTGTTAAAATATTTAACACTTTACAAATAGTATTTATCTTGATTACTGAGTTTCTTGGGACCTACTTAAATGTTGCACTCAAATCAAGTGCCTCGCTCACCTCACCCCAGTTCCTGTCCCTGCAGATCTTCAGTAAGTGTCACGTGGCACAGTGTCAGGAATGACTGTCAATTCTGGTTCAATGCAGGGTGGCATGAAGAGACCATCAGCTGTAGACAAGACATGGAAATTCTCTAAAAACCAGTTTAAGAAGCCTGAGAAATGTGGGATTATAAGGTAAACTTCAGAGCGAAGAGAAAGATAAACAGCAGAAGTTGATACAGGATGTTGGCAGGGGTCCCAGAGAAGGGTGGAGCTGTTTACTCCCTGTGTCCTCTGCTAGACTCCACAGCTTACTTGTCCACAAACCTTGGCCTCTCCAAAACAAAATGAGAAGCTTAATGTACCCTGGAACTGACCTTCTTTTCTCATCCTCAAAAGAGAATCTAAGGGTTGGCTGTTGGGTCCCTGAGGAGTGAACACTAGAGTACCAGGGTGACCTTCCCAATCTCTTCAAAGAATGTCAAGGTTAGAGCCAGCTCCAGAACAAGTAAGTGAAGTGGTTTAGAAGTGTACCTAGGAAGACTCTCTTGACACCTTGGTTGCATTGCCGATCTTGATAACAAATAAGAATGGGGCCCAGTATTCATCCCTGCTCTATCTACCACTGCTGTCCAGGAAGATAAGGACAAGGGAGGGGCTCACGTCAACCTCCACCAGGCAAAGCCTGGGATGCTGTTCCACCCTGATGTTTTGAGGAGTTTGGTTTTTTATGTGTACTGTGGCACAAATCAAGCAGTCAGTCCCCTAGGAAAATCAAACTCCTAGACAAACAGTTAAACTCATGGTCACCAACTTTTTCTAGGGTCTCAAACATGCCCAGCACGTCTATCACAAATTTCCCAATCAGCTATTTCTCTTATTTTCTTCACTTTCTCCTGCCCCTTCCCGCCTTCCATCTTTCTTTCTCTTCTTCTTTCTTTTTCAAGAGATGGGGTCTTGCTACACTGCTCAGGCTGGCCCAGAACTCCTGGGCTCAAGCAATCCTCCCACCTCAGCCTCCCAAGTAGCTGAAATTACAGGGGTGCGCCCCTGCACCCAGATTCTCTTTTATTTTCCTTGAAAAACCAGCCTCTACCTCAGAGTAAAGCCTGTCCAAGGAAGGGGGCGTGACCCTTGTCCTTGGAAAACCCACAGAGCACTCCTAGGCACATACCCACCCTGCTGAGTTGTTATCTACAAATAACAGGAGAGATCTGTTGCACCACGTGTCCCTGATTCAGTCAGGCTAGGTGGGGACCCATAGCAACCCCCTGGCAGCCACCAATCAGCATGAGACAGGGAAGTACCTGAGATGCCAGATAACCCTCCCAGTAGTTTATGATGTTTGATAACATGTTGGGAACCATGTAGTTCAGCACATACTCCCTCATGGCTTAAACCAATCAGTTCAAACAAATCCCCCTCTCTACTAGCCAATCATCCCTACCCAATTTGTTCCCGCCAGTGAATGTGCTAATCGTGTTTAAGAATTGTTTTATGATTTTCCTGCGGTGTGTGATGAGTTGCTAAAAGATGCTATGATGTATGTGAAGTCCCTGCCTTCTCCAAAGAATGTATAAAAACTGCTGAAAACCCTGGGCTCAGGGCCTCTCAGCGTCACCAGTTGCTGTGTATGCACGCAGAGGACCGAGCTAGCTCGCAATAAATACCTCTTTGCTGCTCACATCGATCTTGGTCTCTGGTGGTCTTTTGGGGGTCCCGAATTCGAGCATAACATATGGCTCGTCCGGGATCCCCCTTATAAGGCTACCCAGACACCCCGATGGAGGGGTGATGAAAACCTGGCCGGTAAGTAAAGGCATTGTCGATCTGTAGTTTTCTGTACTCTGGTTGCCTGCAGGTTCTGGTTCTGTATTGTGTGGTCGGCAAAAGGTCCCAAGTGGACGCACGGAAGGGCAGCCGACGGGGTTTGTGGGAGACGTCCCCAGCTCCTTTCTGGGTTCTGAGTGTATTGCCTTTAGTAAAGTATTTCGTGAAGTATTTTGTAAAGTTTTTTTTTATTTTTTTTATTTTTATTTTTCAGTTTTTGGTGGACACAACATCTTTATTTTATTTTTATGTGGTGCTGAGGATCGAACCCAGTGCCCTGCACATGCCAGGCAAGCACGTTACCGCTTGAGCCACATCCCCAACCCTAGTAAAGTATTTTGTAGCTAACGGATCCTCCATCTGCCCCTGCTTTTGGTTTCTGGGTAGCAATCCACGCCGCGCTGCGAATTCTGTGGCTGTGCTGCAAATATTGTGTTACGTGTTTTTGTTTCTATTGTCCTGTCTGCCTTTACCCCAACACCCTGGCAAGGGAACTAATCACCCAATCTGGAGTTGTCAGACCCAATCTGAGGGGGATACTCCCCCAATCTGTTTGTCTGAAGGGAAGGCCCCAGTTGGCTTGGGGCCAACACCCCACTTCTGTTTTTTCAACAATCTGAAAAGGGAATCTGTCTTTGTGTGTCTTTTTGTCTGTGTCTCTGTTAAGTGTGATGGCATTGTTTTACTTTGGACAGATGCAGTGTCCCAAGTTCCAATCTGCCTTAGATGTGTAGAAATAACTTTAGCTAAATTCTAGCCTGAAAATGTCCCTAGTATGCTTCTCCTGCTTCCCTGTAAGGGACCAAAAGTCAATAGAACCGCCAGCTTTTCTGTTCTCACCTTTTACACCCCTTTTAGCTGTGTTTTAAAGAACTTTGATAAACTTTACTCCCCTTTGTTAAATGGGATTAGGGAAGCAATGTTTTCTTTTCTTCCCATAGTTGGCTTGAGTGCACACACTGCAGAGGGAAATGCCTGCTGGAGATCTAAGAACTTTGGTATCTCCCTTTTTTTTTTCTCAAAACCCTGTCCTCATTATTAAATTGGCATTAATTGGCTTTGAGGACAGGAACCAAACTTTCAGTCACAAATTTTGGCACCCCAGATGGGACTCTAGAGGAGCCCCCACTGTGCTTTCTTGGGGAAGCCTAGCGCCCCAAACAACTGCATGCCGAGGATATAAGATGAACTTTTTGAGAGCTGACTACTGAAAAGTTAGGAGATATGGAGCATGCCTGGTGCCTGGGGTTGGACCAAACCAGAGGAGCTAATCCTGTAAGTAAAAGGAAGGACTGAGGGACTCCCAGCAGCTGCCGAAGCCCTTTTGCTTCGGGGAACTCCCTCCTTCCTTGCCTGCACTAGAAGGATTACTCCACCTCTGTCTACTTAAAAAAAAAAGGGGAGGGAAGACACTGAATGCAGTAAAGTCACCTCACCAAGACCCTTGATTTTATACTTCTGGTTGCCCCTCTGTGAGAACATCTGGTCCACTCGTAGGGACATCTATGGTGCCACTTGTGTAGGAGTCATAATTAAATGGGAGTTGGAAACTTGGGGAGATTTTTCTCTTAACCGGTCTGTCTGTTTTAAAGGTTATTATTGATTGTTTCTTGGGGATGACCTTGGCTGAATGTGTATCTAAAAGATGATGTTTTATTGTAATAATCTGGTATCTGGGTTTTTGAAGCATTGCACAATCTTGCAGTTAAAAGTTGGGTTTAGGTAATTGTTTAGTTTATGATTTCAGATAATTCATGCCAGAGAACTTAAATACTTAGGATAGAAAACTAAAGAACTCTACTTCCAAGTTGGCAAGTAACTCCCAATCATTCAGTTTTCTCACCAGTTTTTGAACTGGGTAGCCTGGGAAGATTTCCCTAGGTGTACCAGTGCATTAATTTGGGCAAGGATATGAAATCATGGTATGGTATCTGTTTCCCTCAGTATGTAGGATTTAGGAAAGGAAAGTGTTGGATTGGGACCGTTGGTCTGGCTTATTGAAATGACATTAAATAGCAACAGTCTTGGGAATTTTTAAAGCTTAATTTTGGATATAGATGGTAGTGTGTGTGGTTCCCTTTTGGAACTTAATACTACTATAGGAACTTCAGAGCATAGGAAGTGGCTTAATGATCCTGAAGGGATTTCTTCTGATGGTAGCTTTTATATTATCAAGTAACATCCTATTTTCAGTTTTGTGTGAGCAAGTTTTTCTAGTGTAGGAAAAATTTTTTTCTTTGGCAAAACAAGATGTAAAAGTATGAAATTTTGTGAATTTTATCTTAAACTTGTATCATAATTTTCAACATCTAAACCTGAAAATTATGACTTAAGGTTAAAATGCCTTAGGCATGAGGCTTCTGCTCAGAATAGCAGTTTTCCCTGCTCCTTCCAGACCTCAGCCAGGACTTAAGTTGAAATCCAAATAGAAGAAGCCTTCAAGCTCAGTAGGAGACTGATCTGAGGCTCAAGGAAAAAAAAAGTGAAGGTGTCTTTTTACCTGAACTCAAACTAGACTAAACCAAAAAAGTAAATTTTATGGTAATTTTTAATTACCAGCCGGTCATTTTTTCTAGAACCCTTGCTTTTTCTTAGATTCTGTATTTTTTGAGCTCATGATTTTGATCCTACAGACCTAGGTTAATGTTTTTCTGATCAGTTCTATTTTTGATCAACTGTGGAATTTTTAAGCATTGCAATGGAGATTTCACCTGCGAAAAGCTACAAGGCCTTTACTATTGTTTTATGTGTGCACACTTGTGTTATGTGTTGTATGTCTGTATGTGAGTATGTCCATATATCATGCACATGATACAACAATTGGCAGATATATGAGGAGCTTCATAAAATTTTTTAAAAATGGATCCAAACATCTTTGATTCACATGATTTAAGCAGTTCAATTTAAATTGGGTAAACAGATGAAAGTGAAGTGTCTTTAAAATTAAGCTTACAGGTTTTTCTAGGTGTTCAAAAAAACTAATAAAATGTTGATGTCTATGAAATAATCTGCCTAAATTCAGAAATTTACAAGGATTGTTGCAAAATGTGAACAGAAAAGGAGGTTAACAGATGGAAAATAGAAATTAGAAGATTCTAGGTTTGGATTTAATAGAAGGAAAATGTGTTTCTGGATAAGAGAGTCTATGTGATTAAGTAAATAAGAGGGTTTAAGTAAATGATAAAGAAGGTGTAAGTCGGTTATATATGTAAGGTTTTTGAGCAAGTAATCTTAAAGAAATTAAAAATTATACAACTATAGTTAAACAACAACTGTTATTTTGCAATATTGTAATATG